CTTAAATCTGCCCCTTGGGAAAAAAAAAAAATCCCTCTTCATGGTGGTAGCAATAGTTCAGAGATGGGAAATCCATGACAAGGGTGGGGAGTGGATCACTGTTCAACAGGGTAAGAGGAAACAGCCTCAAGCTACACCACGGGAGGTTTAGATTGAATATCAGGAAAAAAATGACTTTGCTGAAAAGGGCTGTCCAACCCTGGAAATGTTCACCATCCCTGGAAATTTCCAAAAAGATGTGGATGTGGCACCTGGGGACATGGGGCAGGGGTGACCTGGGCAGTGCTGGGGGAATCCTTGGACTTGATGGTCCCAGAGGGCTTTTCCAACCTCAGTGATCCTGTGATTCTATTATTAAAGTACTTCTGTGYAGTTTGCAATAAAATCAGACTGAAATGGGGACAGTTTTGATTCCTGACCCCAGGGAACCTTTGGCTCAYGGGCAGAAGGACCTAAAGCCTCAGAGCTCCTGTGGATGCTCTCCATCCCTACAGACTGCAGCCTGACCATCCTTTTTCCACTTCTGCTCAGGTGTTTTTTTTTGAGCAGCCTCAGGGACTGACCACACTGCCCTGGTTTGTTCTCTTCTCCTTGAATCCATGATAGTTTGGATTTGGATYCTCCTACAAAAACACAATTTTCACTGGCAGGCTTTTTTCCTTAAAAAAAATCCTATTTCACGAGTCTCTCTTTGCAGTTTTGGGGCCACATTGGAACCACCAAAARGATGCAAGAACTTGTGAAAGGATGGCAAATGTGTCAGGCTCCCATTGCAGTCCCTGGGGYGTGGTTTGAGGAGGATGCAGTGGGACACCAGGGGATATCCTGGGGTGTCTAAAAGAGAATTTAAAAATTCTATCCAAATCTATCTCTAAAAAAGAATTAAATGTAGGCAGCTGTCCTGCCTTGGAGCCAAGTGTCTCCCTGCAAGCTGAACACCTTCAGCTCAATTTCATCGCGCGGGGAGCAATAAATTCACACACAGGGATTGATCTCATTTTAACACAGATTTAAAACAGTCTCAGTGACTCCTGACCTGGCCTTGTTTCTCCCTGTTGATGGCAAGATGGAGCTGTAGATGCTGATGGTTATAAAGGAGACATTTGTGAAATCTCTGGAAAACTCCATCCAGGTTTGCACAAAAACTGCTGCTTTTGCTCTCCAGCTCTGTGGGGTGGGAGCCCTGGGCATCTCAGAGGCTCTAAGGAGGGAATGGATTTAACCTGACAGAAAGCAGGGTTAGGTGGGATATTGGGAAGGGGTGAGGGAGCTGGGGGGAGGCCCCAGAGAAGCTGTGGCTGCCCCTGGATCCCTGGAAATGTCCAAAGCCAGGTTTGGGTGGGGCTTGGAGCACCCTGGGACAGTGGAAGGTCAGAATGAGATGAACTTTAACGTCCTTTCCAAACCCAACCACTGTTTGATTTATGGCCAAAATCCACTCCTGCTGCAGAATGTGGGATGGGGGGACACCTGGGACTCACCTGAGCTGGCACCACCCCACTGCTCCTGGGGGTCACAGAGCGATCCCTTCCCCTGGAACCAGAGCAGGGCCCTACTTCATGTGCTGCTGAACTGAACTGTGGGTGACCTGTGACTCCAGCTGAACACACTCTGTCCTAATCACCGCCTCCGAGCCATAATTGGGCCATTTACTGAATTTTGCCCAGGCAGGGAAGGCACTGAAGGAGGCATTTGCTTTGTGAGCCCCTCGTACTCTAATTATTGTTCGAGTTACGGTTGCATCAGAGCCTCACAAAAGATGCTTAAGAAAGCAAGGAATGAGACATCAATTGTGGTTCATGGGGTCATGGAAGAGATGTAGCACATGAAAAAATAATACATAGGCCATCTCCAGTGCCTGTTCTTTAGCACTTGTAGCCCCTGAACATCCATTAATGTTAATGTTTATGACTAAATAGAACTATAAGTCAATTACAGCTCCTGGTAGTGTTAATTCCCAGCCAATCCATATATTTGTCTGCAAAACTGCCAGGGAATTGGGATGGAATAGATTTTTCTTTTTAAGGGCATGGATTTTTTTTTTTTTTTTTAAGTACAAATACATGGGAGCTCTGCTATTCAATCTGCTTGAGTTATCAGAGAAATATGGTCAGTTATCCACAAATTAGACTGGTCTGGCATGAGGGCAGCTGGTGAAATGTCTGAGCCTTTTTATTTGTGGCCTTTCTGTTCATGGAATAGCCTCAAGAACCACCAGGGGAAGTTCAGGGTGAACATCAGAAGGAATTTCTTCCAGTATCCCAGGGTGCTCCAAGTCCTATTCAACCTGGCCTTGGACACTTCCAGGGATGCAGCAACCACAGMTCCTCTGGGAATTCTATTCCAGTGCCTCCCCACCTTCCCATGGAACAATTTCTTCCCAATTTCTTCCCAGTATCCCATCTAAATCTCTCCTCTTCTGGTTTAAAACCACTCCCCTTTGTCCTAACATTCTCTCCCCCATGCAAAATGCTRTTCCCTCCAGCACAGTTCACAGATTTGGATCCAGATGTGGATCAGGTGAACTCATAACCTCAACCAGCAGCTTTCCTGCCTTAGCCTGGCTCTGGATATAAAAACATGTATCCTGATCCTCAGCAAATCCCTGGAAAGTTTAATGTCAGGCTTTTATCTCCTCTATGTCCACAGCTCCTGGGGCCAGAGGTACCGGAACAAACTTTCCATCTCCAGGGCTTGTTCCCTGATCAGGAATCTCTGCCTTGCACGAGTTTCTAATCCTTCCTGGCCTTTCCACAGCGACTCGTGGGTGTCTCCTGATCCAGGCAAAAGCTCCAGGAAGTGCTCCAGGAGACAGCTTCAAGTGGGCACACACCAGCACCGTGCCCACGGCTGCTCTGTATCYGTGTCTGAATTGGGGACGTGAAGGATTTGGGTTTTTTGAAATCTGGCCTCACTTTCATTGGACACAAACCCTGTAATCCTTACAATTGAAGCTTCAGAGGCTGCATTGCCCACAGAGCAGATGGATTGTCCAGTTCTGGGCCCCTCACTGCAAGAAGGATATTGGGAGGCTGGAGCGAGTCCAGGGAAGGGAACGGAGCTGGGGAAGGGGCTGGAGCACCAGGAGAGGCTGAGGGAGCTGGGAAAGGGGCTCAGCCTGGAGAAAAGGGGGATCAGGGGGGACCTTGTGGCTCTGCACAACTCCCTGACAGGAGGGGACAGCCGGGGGTGTCGGGCTCTGCTCCCAGGGAACAGGGACAGGAGGAGAGGGAATGGCCTCCAGCTGTGCCAGGGGAGGTTCAGGTTGAACATAGGAGGAATTTCCTCATGGAAAGGGTGGTCAGGCATTGTAATGGGGCTACCCAGGAAGGTTTGGAGTCCCCATCCCTGAAGGCATCCAAGGAACAACTGGAGGTGGCACTGAGTGCTCTGGGCTGGTGACAAGGTGGGGATTGGTCACAGGTTGGGTTCACTGATCTTGGAGGGCTTTTTCAACCTGAACAATTCTGGGATTCTGTCCAGTGGTCCCTGCTGCAGAAGAACATCAGGCTCAGCCCCATCCTGTCCCAGTCCATGACCAGGCAGCCCACTATGGAGAAGCCACCAGGTTTCTGACCCAGCCTAGAGAGGTCAAAAGTGCCCTCCCTGACTTTGATCAGCACTTCCCAGAAAGCCAGAAATCCATCCAGCAGGAAAACACTTCCCCTCCAGCAAATCAGAAAAATCTGGTGACAAGCCTTGTCACTCATTTCATCCCCAAAAAGCACCACTTCCACCCTCAGCTCTGTTTTTGTCCTGTTCCCTTTATTCCAGTCTACAAAAAAAAAATTCTGCCTGGTCAGAATCCCCCTAAAAACAGGGAGATGTTGGATTTGGAACATTGTCACCCATGCAGTCCTCGTGTGCTTCCACTGCTTGGAAATCTCACAGTCTCCTCTCCTGTTCCGCTGCTCAGACTTGGACATTATTGTGGATCACAACAGCTCCCTCATCAGCATTCTGAATCCAGGAGATTAATTTTGCTGGCAACAAATGCTCCTGCTGTTTCAGCAGCATCATTCACCCCAGAATTGCAGGCTGGGCTGAGCAGTGAGTTCTTTTATCACATTAATGTTATCCCGTGGCAGGTTCCTTTTTAAGGTTTTTTTTTTATTGAATTTAATGGAGGTGAAAGTCACTCCTCAAATGGTTTCAGAGGCAGATGCTCCCTGGCTAATCACAAAATCATTTTGCAAAGCAAATTCCCCTCAACTGCTGCCCACAGTCCTGGTACCCTCTGCCTTTCTGACTGTTCTGGGTGCTGGTTTAGCTCCTTAAGTGAGAAATTCCTACAGGACGGAGCCGTCCATCCACGTTCTGTCCATCCAACCCCCTCTAAACCCATGGACATGTCTAAAATACAGCTGGGTGGGGCTTGGAGCAGCCTGGTCCAGTGGGGGATGTYCCTGCYCATGGCAGGGRGGTGGMACTGGRTGAGATTTAAGGCCCTGTCMATCCCAAACCACTCTGTGATTYCATGAAAACCYAGTGGAGGATGGAAATCTCAGTCCAGAACCAGAGGCTGCAGGAGAGCCCAGCCCTTGCCAGGCTCTCAGAGGAAGATTTGGAAGCTGGATGCTACAAAAGGCAAAGCATTTTTTGGCATCCAAATTTTGTTTGACGCCAGGACAGCGATCCTGGGGGTGGAACATGTCCCAAAGGCACAAGTTCTGAGTAAGTTTTGYCTCATTTGGKTGTGTGTGCCAGCTCCCTGATATCAAATACTGCTCAAATCATAATTTAGCTTGAGAACTCCATCATTTTGTGTCAGCAACACACAGCAATAAAATGTGACTTGTTCTGGTAACCACAGACCAACCAAGCACTTTTAGGTCAGAGCCAGGACCTTACCCAAGAAATGTTGATAGAATCCAAATTAAACACAMCCAATTAAACCTCCCTCCCAATTCTTTTGCCTTGAACCTCCTGAACAGCCACTCCTGTCTCCTCTCAGGCTGTAGCCTGGCTATGAAGCAGACAAATAACGCTGATTCCTTTACCTGGCAGCCTCCTTCTCCTTCTCCCTGCACTGCYTCAGCACACATCACACTCTCCACGAGCTGTGGGATCTGCTCCAGGCACTGCTCCCTGCTGATCAGCTTCACCCGCGTTTTCTGCAGCATGTGGGGCACTGTGGCAAACAGGAAGGGAAGGATCAGCAAACCAGAAGGGAAGGATCAGAAATCCAGATGGGAAGGATCAGCAAACCAGAAGGGAAGGATCAGCAAACCAGAAGGGAAGGATCAGCAAACCCACAAAGCAGCTGGAGGCTGCTCTCAGGAAGGATCTCACCTGGATTTCTACAAAACTTCAAGGCAGTGGGGTCTGGGGCAGAACTCTGAGGTCTTGGGGTCATGGGGGTTACAGGGGATCCCCAAATGTTGGCAAACATGAGCTTGTRCCCCTGAGTTTATCACAGAATCATGGAATGGTTTGGATTGGAAAGGACCTTAAATTCCATCCAGTGCTACCCCTGCCATTGGCAGGGACACCTTCCACCATCCCAAATTGGTCCAAGCCCCACCCAGAATGGCCTTGAACAATTCCAGGGATGCCAGACCACTGGAAAACCCCCAAAAGAATGGATTTTCCTGCTGCTGGTCTCGGGGATGACCTGAGATGAGCTGCACTGCACACCTTGAGTTTCTCACTCATGGGTTTTTTTGGGAACTCAACCTGAGAGGGTCTCCATGGGATGCTGTGCAGGTCCCTGCAGATCAAAGTCCACTGAGCTTTCCCCAGAATTCTAATCTTAGAATTATAGATTCATGGAATTATTTRCATTGAAAACAACCATTAAGATAATGGAATTATTCACCTTGGAAACAACCTTTAAGATCATCAAGATCAACCATTTCACAGCCCTGCCAGRGCCACCACTGCCCCATGTCCCCAAGTGCCACMTCCACAYGGCTTTTAAATCCCTCCAGKGATGGGGACTCCAGCACTGCCCTGGGCAGGTGATCCAATGCCCAGAAACTCTTTCAGGGAATGAATTTTTCCTAATATCCAATTTAACCATTGTTGTCCCTGGAGAGGGCTGCAAGGCCACGCCTCGCCCAGGGGACCAGCTGCATCTTCACAAAGTGGCTCTCRGGATGGCAGCACACAAAGGAAATATCTGCTTTATTCTTCCCTTGGGATGGGAATACAGAAATCCCAGCTGGCACCTGCAAGTGACAAAAAGACTGAAAATGTGCTGGGCTGCTTGGAAACCCCACTGGTTTCACCCACATTTCTATCTAAAAGTGAACCTGAGCTTGAAGGATGAAACTGAGATCTTCAGATCATTTGAGATTCACTCCTTCTTCTGTATTTCACTGAGCTAAATCCTCACAGAACCTTCAGGAAACTGGGACTCGATGGTACATCTAAAAGATGGAAATTTGCCAGGTCCCTTTTCCAGCTGAGATGGTAGCTCCCAAAGATGAAAATACCTTGATGCAGGAACGTCCAGGGAGGTGGAGCCCCTCTGTAATGGAGAGGAGCTGGGAGRGCTGGGGGTGTCCAGCCTGGGGAAGAGAAAGCTCTTGAAAGATTTTAGAGCCCCTTCCAGAGCCTAAAGGGTCTCCAGGACAGCTGGAGAGAGAACTGGGACAAGGGATGGAGGGACAGGACACAGGGAATGCTTCAAATTGACAGAGGGCAGGGATGGATGGGATATTGGGAAGGAATTCTTCCCTGTGAGGTTGGGGAATACCTGGCACAGGGTGCCCAGAGAAGCTGTGGCTGCCCCTGGATCCCTGGAATTGTCGAAGGCCAGGCTGGACAGGGCTTAGAGTAGCCTGGGATAGTGGAAGGTGTCCCTGGCCATGGCAGGGATGGGATGAGATGGTTTTTGAGATCCCTCCCAACCCAAACCATTCCATGATCTGATACCTTTTGGCTTTGCCCATATCCTGCCATCATACCCCCTTCTCATCAGTCTCAGCTTCTGCTGTTTTTTTCTGAAGCCTCTGCCAGACAGAGGGTGGGGTTTGTCAGGGCTGAGCACACTGACATCGATTTTTGGAAGCAGAATCCGTGTCAGCTGAGCCCACACAGTGCCACGAGGTCAATCCCCGGAGTTACTCCATGAATTTTGCACAGAGGAGCTCAAGAGAAACCGTGCAGAGGGACACTGCAGCAGCTCCTCTGCTCTGGGAACAGGTTACCTTGGTGAAATGGGAGAGTTTCACAAATCTAACAGGGTTGTCTGTTACTGTGGCGTGAGGAAAATGAAGCCTAAGAAGACAAATGCAGAATTTCATAGAAAAGACAGCAACACTTTGGAGCAGAAAAGCAAGGATTAAATGGGATATTCCCATAATGCATCCTGGAAAGGACCACTCAGCCTCCAAAGCACCCCCATGCCCTTGTCCTGATTAATTCTTTCCAGTAATGAAACAGCTCATTGGCTGTTCAATGACATTTGATCAGGACAGACATTTGGGGTCAGAGTCAGCGCTGGAACTGCTTCATGAGGGTTTAAACGAGAGCAATTAGMAACAGCAACCTGCAGCTCTAAATGAGTGAAGGGAGGAGTGGCCAGAAACAATGAGACCGTCCTGCTCATGGAGGCCTTAAACCAAAGACAACCCCAGACCTTGGTTTCCCTCAGTCCAGAGCTTTAGACCCAGCGTAACTGGAAATGTCCTGAGCTGGAAGTGACCCACAGGAATCCCACAAGGTGAGAAATGTCCAAGGCCAGGTTGGACACTGGGGCTTGGAGCACCCTGGGACAGTGGAAGGTGTCCCTGCCCATGGCAGGGTGTGGGGGACCGGATGATCTTTAAGGTCCCTTCTAACCTAAATTATTTTAGGATTCTGATTCTGATTCTATTTTAGGTGGTGAGAGAAGTGTTTAAGAGCTATCCAGAAAATGCTGCTTATGAAAACCCCTCAGTCTTATAATTAATCCAAATTAATTCCTTGCAAGCAAATGATAAAGCAAAAGGAAAGAGATTTTTTTCCCTCTCTTAGAGGGTGCTTTTTTCTGCATTGCTGAGAGTTCCATATCCCACCCCAGGCTGGGGCTGAGCTGATCCTTCACCCCACACGTGATCCTTTCTTGGATCACATTTGTAAAATGTGTTCTGCTGCTCACAAGGAGGTTTCAGCTTTTCTTGGAAGCGACGGGGAAGGAGAGAGGCAGCAAAGTCCCCTTCATGTCCCACCTTTGCACAAAAGCACCTGCAATTTGCAGCGATGATCAAACCCAGTGAATGTGCAGGGATGATCTTTAAGGTCCCTTCCAACTTTAATATTCTATGGTTCTGTGCTAATTTACCGATCAGGGTGGAGCTTGTCTTAATCTGAGTGCCATGAAGAGGCACAAAATTTGGAAGTTTTGCCAAAATAGGTCCCAGGATTTGCTCTGGGAGGCTGTGGGGGACGGGTTCTGGGTGGATGTGCAGAGGTTGTGGGGGTCTGGATGGGTTACCCAGGATGGTGGGCACTGGAACTTAGTCTGGGAACTTCCTTGTGGAAGAGAAATCCACTTTCAATGGACAAATCCCATTTTCCATCAGCAAATTCTTCTCCCCTAGCACCTCACCTGCACTCGTGCTCGCCCAGTCGGCAGCCCAGCAGTGCTGCCACGTGTCCATGTCRCACACAAAGGGCAAGCAGACGGGGATTTTCTCCTTGCTGAACTCGATGGGGTGGCTGAGCAGGATCAGGGCAATGTCATTCTGCAGGCTGGTGCTGTTGAACTCCTCGTGCAGGATCAAGCTGTCAGGGTTGTGCTCCTCCAGTGGGAGGCTGAGGTCCACTCCCCCCACRGCCACCGTCAGATCTGATGGCCTTAAAAACAAAACAGGAGTGGAGATATGACCAACAGGAAGGATTTGGGTTATAAAGGTTGGTGCATCTTCCCCCTGAGCAGGGCAGGGTGATGGCTCCGGCAGCTCAGCTGTAAATATCCCAGGAATTTACYCTCACTCCTAGGCAGGGATAATTTCCAGGGCAGCGAGGTGCAGAGGTAGAACATGAATACAGCCATGTTATAAAAAACCCAGGCACTGCCAAGCAGATGGAATGGGCTGGATCTCTCGGATCCTTGTGCCCAGGGCTGGCTGCTCGGACCCTGCTGTCCCCAGCCAGCTGCTCCAGGTCATTTGTCACCAAGCAGTCTCGGCTCTCGGACCCACCACATTTTGGAAGGGGCTCACACAGGGCTGGACTCTGCCCTGGGCATTGTGTGGAGCTGATTTATCCAGAACTCAGTRGTTTAAAATCAGCGTCTCCATGAGGTGGAGGTGTTTGCTGTGTGAAAGCAAAGGTAATTTGGGGGTTACAGTGAGCTAGAATGGAACACGTCACCTTTTACAAGGTGCAGATGCACCAGAAATGCTTGAGGCCACCAGAACAGCATCAGAGGCCTTTATCCAAGGCTGCTCAGGGATYATCCAACCCCTCAAAGTATTCCACTTCTGCTTCCCCTGGTTATGCAGATTTTCATACATTTCTGCGTCCAAAACTGGGCCTGTTTCCCCTGACGGAGACACCCCCCATTCTCAGGCCTCAGCCCCACAAATAACCCCGAAGAGATGAACATCCTGCACCCACCAGGAGCAACGCCAGCCCCTCTCTTTGCCTGGGCTGCCCTCCCTCCCCTGGGGCACTCACAGCTCCTCGGTGAAGCAGTGGGCCGCCGTCAGGATCCAGAGCGCGCTGATGATGGTGCCGCCGCAGATRTGCTTCCCTTGGCTGCGGATGCTGACGTGCCACGGGAACTCGCCGGGCCTGGCGCGGGTCCCGGCCCCAAGCCTCTTGCCAGTCGTCTGGAAGGACTCGTAGGACGGGCGGAGGCCGCACTCTGGGTGCAAAACGGGATGTTTTGGGTACGTTCAGCAGCGCCACAGCCTGAGCTGCGGAGCTGAGGGGGCAGGGCTTCCCTGAGCACGGGCCTAGAAATATTCAGAGTCGTTGAAATGTGGAATCACAGAGCAGTTGGGGTTGGAAGGGATCTTAAAAATCCATTTTCAACGTCATTCCATGGGCAGGGACACCTTCCACCATCCCTATCCAGCCTGGCCTTGGACACTTCCAGCCACAGTTTATCTGGGAAACCTTTTCCAGGGCCTCCCAGGGAACAATTCCTGCCCAATATCCCATCCATCCCTGTCCTCTGTCATTTTGAAGCCATTCCCTGTGTCCTGTCCCTCCATCCCTTGTCTCCAGTCCCTCTCCAGCTCTCCTGGAGCTCCTTTAGGCCCTGGAAGGGGCACTGAGCTCTCTCTGGATCCTTCTCCTCTCCAGGTGAGCCCCTGAGAGATGGACCCCCATCTGGAGCCAGAGCAGAGGGGCTCCACCCTTGGAGCAGCCCCAGGGCCTCCTCCAGCTCCACATCCTTCTGATTTTGGACCCAGATCTGGAGGCAGCTCTGCAGGTGAGGTCTCAGCAGAGTAAAGGCTGAGGATTCCCTCCCTGGACCTGCTGTTTGATCTCTCCCAAAGTCCCTGACATCCCTGTCACCTCCCCAAAGCTAAGCTCTGCCAAACGCTGCCTGGGCGTTGACCATTGACCATTTCCCACAGGGAGGTGGGATCAAATCCTTGTTTAGGGGCTGGGAGGTGCATCAGGCTGCAGCACACACAGTCCTTTCCCACCCAAAAAATTCCATGATTCCATGATTGCAGGAGAAAGTGGTATTTCCGACAAAGGGCAATTTTTAAAAATTGCTCAGCAGCAGCAAAGAGCCCAGGCCTGTTCCACTCACCCACAAAGGAATATCCCTCGGGATCTCCAGCTTCTCTGGGCTGAGAATGCTGGAAAACAAAATCTGCCTGGACACTGCTGGTCAGGGAAGCTAAACAGGAGAGGGCGAGCAGCAGCATCTCAGTCCATCCTGGATGAGAACTCTCCCACAGCTCTCAGAGCAGCGATGTCTCTGCAGACACCTGGGGACATCGCCGTGTTCCACATCAACACAACCCAGGGTGACATCACAGCTCCCCCTCGTTCCTGTTGGGGCAGCAGTTGGGTTCTCCTTCCTAAGGCAGAAAGTTCACTCAGGGATTGACAAAATGTTTGTGGTTTCCTTCAGCTCTGACAGGGACAGGGTAGGAGTGAATTCCTGTCTGTATTCTGGACTGGTATCACAGGATACAGCACTGGTGGATTTCAGGAGCTGRGAGCTGGAGCCTGGCAAAATCTTCAACCACTTTTGATGACCTCAGGTGCAACTCCTCCATCAGCTTCCTTCTTAAACTCTGAGAAATTCTGAAGCCTATCAGCATTTCCTGTTAATTTTCTCATTTCCTATTAATTTTCTCTCCAGTTAGACCGTGCCTGGGGTATTAATTTCATGTACTTAAACAGGACCAGGAGAGCTGTCCCATCCCTGGAAGTGTCCAAGGCCAGGTTAGACTTGGACAGGGTTTGGAGTACCCTGGGATGGTGAAAGGTGTCCCTGCTCATGGCAGGGGGTGGAACTGGATGTTCTTCAAGGTCCCTTCCCRCCCAAAAAATTCCATGATTCCATGACTGCAGGAGAAAGTGGCATTTCTGTCAAAGGGCAATTTTCAAAAATGGCCAAATCAAAATTATCAAATCAAAATCAAATCAAAGATGCCAGTAAATCATTCTGTGCTAGCCAAATATTTTGATGTGGCCAATTGCAGCACCGATGGACCCATTATGCTGATTTTTAGACCAACACATCATCATTTCCATCAGCACAGGACTTAAAAAAACTCCTCAGCCAGGCTCAGATTCGAGCGTATCTATAATAAAAGCTTTTCCCAAAGATTTTCCAGCTTGTTTCAAAACAATAACTGCAGCAYGGAGTAGGAGGGGAAGGAGGGGAGAGGAAGGGAACCAAGAGACGTTTTATGAGCCCCCAGATGATTCAGCATCTGAAATGTTTTGCCTTGGAGCACACCAGGAGTTATCCCACAGAGTCTGGATTTGTGGAGGCATTTCACAATGAGAAGGATGAGGGTAAGAGTTGATTTCCCCCTGTTCTTTGCTTCTCTGTCACCTCATGCCAAAGAAATGAGACAGAAGTGCTGGTTTCCTTGGCAGTGAGCACTGGAACAACTCCATGGCAGGACAGGCTAAGGACAGGATCAGTTACCACAGCAACAAAAATCCTGAGTGCGGTGTGGGCGCATTTTGGGGCATCTCCAGAAAGAGCCTAACAGGGCAATCCTGCCTGAGGCAGCTCCTGTAAGCCCAGCCCAGGTGTAAATCTGCCAAAAGAACAGGTTTCCTCTGGATTTTGAGACTGGGGTGAACTCAGCATTAGCTGAGGAGTGAGGGAAGATGTGGAGCTAATTTCTCTGGCACAGATTTACCACCCAGGGCTGCAGCACGGGATTTACAGTCCCAAAAACTGACTTTGTGGGGCACATTTCCACTCCTTCCAAGYTTGCAGCCTGATCTGATCTGCTGGGTAGGAACAGGAAGATGCTCAGGGAGCTGATTTGGGCCTTTCTGAGCTTAAAAGCTGAGTTGGAGAGCAGGAAACATCAAACCAAGCCATGGAGAGCTATGGAGACGCTGTGGGTTTGTGTTTGTGGGTCCCACCATCTGTCCCTCAAAAACTGGCTCACTCCTTGTGCTCTGGACCTGTAGGATCCTATCTCCATATGGGACAAACCCTGCACCCCTCCATCCTTTCTCTGCACTTGGAGAACCCCATCAATAAACCCAAAATTGATTTTATTTTTCCCCTTCCTGGCTGTCCTACTCCTTTGATTGCACATTCACTGGAGACTGCCCCAAGTTATGTTGGCCACGAGTCTGCTCTTGGTGGGGGCTCCTCAAGTTATTAAAGTACAAATAATTAATCATGGGGATAATTCTACTCCTCTGTGCTGTCATGCCTGGTGATACTGATTTAAAAGCCGTGGTGTTTAATTAGCAGACTGCAGCATTTTATAATATTTGATAATTTTTTTTTTTTTTAGATCTACCCAGATATCTGCTTGGAACACATCACAGAGAACACCATTCTTTTCTTTTCTGTACTTTATTGCAGAGCAGGAAACAAAACCAATYTATTTTTGTGTTCATTCACTTGTTGGAACTGCCAAAAAGAAGCATCAAATTGCAATTTTGACTTTTTCTGGCTAAATTTATTTCAGAAAATAGGCACTAAGGTGGTACTAAATGCTGTGAAAGCGGAGTTGTGGTGGGAGAATCACTGATTTGATCAATACATCATTCCCAAAGGATTCCAGGCTTKTGACAGGTCAAGAGCCCAACCATGTCCCAGTCAAGCTCTGGTAATACCAGCAAATTAATTAACTCAAGAAAATCACCAAGTCCAAAGGCATTGGAAATGCAAAGCAGCTACAGGYGCAACCACCTCCAAATTCACCTTTTTGACAGCATTTCAAGCCAAACTTYTGGAAGTTTGGATCTCTTCCCACCTCCCCAGATAACAAGGAAACCCCAGGAGCTGCACAGAGCGAGAAGCTGTGATGGGAGCAATTCCTGCCGCTACTTTGGCTTTTAACGTCAATGAACAGGAAACTKTTCCAATTATGGAAATTGTCCCCAGCAGATCCCCAAATCTTTATCCACGGATGCCGTGCTGGAACTGGGATTCCTGTTTTTTTCCAAGCTCCCTGTGGTGAAGTGGAGGTGGTGGAGCAAGCACAGGGGGTTATTTCCTGATGCCAATGGGGCAGGACACCCCTGTCCCCCCCATGCCACAGTAGCCACCAGGATTCTTGCTGAGGTATTGCTGGTGATATTCCTCGGCGTAATAAAACTCGGGAGCCTCCCGGATTTCCGTCGTGATGGGGCCGAAGCCTCCCTCCGTCAACACCTGTCAGGAGAAACCATGAAAAAGACATTAGTGGTTTGTTGGCACAGGAATGGCTTTGGKATTCCTCCCTGAAGGAGCCACAGGCATCTCTCAGTGCTTGGATCACATTCCCAAAACATCCCTGAAAGCCCTTTATCTCTGCTCTTGTAGTGTTTTTCTTGGAGATATTGTGGTCATGGAGAATGAGTGAACCACTCCCTTTTAATGGCTTGTTTGTTTAATTTGCCATGTCCACATGAATAATTTTAATAAATTGCGATTATTCTCTTTATTAACCCAGGCAGGGATATGGAGCCATCAATGAAAGTGGAAAACAACGGGAGAGCACACTCAGATCCACCTTGGGAAGCTGCAGCATCCAGGAACCATCCCCTGGAAGGTGCCTCAGCTTCAAAATGCACCCCCAATGTCCTTCTCCAAGAAGAATTTCTGAGTGAAATTTCAACCCCAAGAATGTCCTTGGGAAATCAGAGCATTTGAGCTTTTTTTTTTTTTTTTCCCCACAAGAGTCACTGCAAACTCATTCTTCAAAGAGGAAAGTTCCATCTTGACCAGAAAGTTTTAAGTTTTAAGGCAAATAATGSCTCATTTTGGAAAGATCTGCCAATACGTGGACCAGGAGCAATAATCACTTGGCAGGAAGAGAAGATGGAATGTGGGTGGGGATTTTAAATTAGACTTTAATTGCTTTCTGATATCCYCCTAACTGAATTTGAAACTCCTGAGAGGTTTCTGACAGAGGGAATTTCTTTTTAAGATGAATTGCTGTGACATTTTCCCTGCTGCATTGTCCTTTCCTAAGGAAACTGGTAAACAGCAACATTTTGGAGCCAATTCTCTTCTCAGTGGTGACATAACCCGTGCCCTGAAGTCCGTGCTAAAACCTAATGAGCACTTTAATTAATGGCAGACTCCTGWTGCAAAGTGTGTTTGTAAATACTGGATGGAGATAGAATTGATTGAAGGGTCAGCATTTAGGATTCCCAGACAAATATTTGTTAYGTCATCACCCTAATAAATAAATAAAGCAAATAAGGGGAAATCATCACATGGAATCACAAAACTCTGAATTTGCTTAAGTCATCAAGTCCATATTCTATCATCATGATGGAATACATGATGGTAGTCTTGATCCCAAAAAACACTGTTTATGGAAGATCTATGGGATGGAGATCCTCATTCCAGTATTTTCCATCCTGTTAGAGAGTCTGTCCTAACAGTTAAAACTTTTATTTAAACCCAGTATTGTGGGTTTACTCGTCATGGGCCTGGAAAGAAAATAATTCCCTTTCTCTTTACATCTGCAGACTCAGAGGCTGGGGAGARAGAAGGATGACAAATAATGGACTTAATTAACAGGTGATTATTTAGGACAAAAAGCCTTCAAACTTCCCACATCAGGTTTTCCCAGATCCTGCCCCTGACCACAGCCTGACAGCAGCTCCTGGGCTTTGGAGAGCATTAGTCTGATTTATCCCCATAATTTCCCTGTCTAGAGGACACATTCTGCTCTGTTCAGTCTTTGCTCAGGAATGAAGTAACAAGATGGACACAAAACCTGTGATTGACCTGTCTGGAGAGCCCTGAGTTCCCAACTCTGCATCGGAATTTTCAGTGCAACAAGAAAGATGATGCTGACTCATTAATTCCTTGGTTTTGAACACTGCAGGATCCCAAGCCAAATTTCTCAGGAATCTGGCCTTGCCTCCTCATGTACAATCATCAAATAGCTTTTTCCATCTTTGGGGCAGGCTTTGTCCCAAGGGAATCAGGTTATTTACCCATCAGACGTGTAAGTGAAGAAGATAAAACATGTGAAGGTTTGTGCCACAACACCTCAACAGCACCCAACACAAAGAGGTGTCAACACAACTGCTTTTACCAAGCACTGTTTCATTTTCTAACCTTCCCAGCACAGAAAAAAAAAACTCTTTGGAATTTCTTTGCTGCAGAAGGATGGCACAAACTCCGCCACCGTGGGCATTACTCATTTACCTGCTGCAGCAAATGCAGCCAAAATTGGCCTCTCCCCCTTCCCTGAGTCATGAGGATGCTGCTGGAGGGGGAGAGACTTTCCCACCGTGCAAAACAGTGTTTGCTTTGTTAAAAACAGATTTTTAACCTGGGACTTTTCCATCATTGGCCTCATTTTGTCAGCTGGGAAATCCATTCTGTTTGATGAGGCACCACAAGAGGGCATAAACATCATTTATCCCCTCCCGAATCGCTCCCAGACCATTAAAACCTGAATAAAGCAGAACCCAAGACGACTCCTGACCTTGCACTTTGGTCCTGTTGTYAGGAGCAGTGGGAACCTCAGGCTATGCCAAATCCCACCTTGGTTGTTTAGATTTTAAAGGGKAAAATATTTTCCTGGCGCTGACGGTGTCGATGTGAAGATAAAAACGTCACTGGAAAGAAGTTCAGGATGTGCTGGCTCTGGCAGGTGTAAATCAGCCCACTCTGGATTGATTTCCTGCCACTGATGCTGATATAATTTGATGATAATCTTGTTCTAGAAGCATTTTTAGTCCTCGCTGTCTCAAAATTCCTGAGCCAATCCAACAGGACCTCTCATATCTTGCTGCAATTAAAACTTGGGATCTTTTACTCAGTGCAAGAAATTTTTAAGGAACTGTTGGATCATTTTTCCCTCTGACATTTCACTGCAATTCAAAGACAATTTATTCCTTCAAAGGTTTTCTGTGGTTTTTGTCACAGGAGACATCAAAGCCCTGTGAGATCAGCAACTCCCACTGTTAACCCAGCACTGCCAAGTCACTACAAGATCACAAGAGATCCTTTAATTGATTATAATCCAGCCCAAAAATCCTGTAAAGTTCCACCAGCAAGGGGCCAAACCAAACCAGAACCCAAATCTCAACCAGCTGCAGAGGGGACATGGCCAGTTTGGGACACTGGGAGAGATGCTCAAGCAAGAATAGGGAATCACAGAATCGTGAAGGTTGGAAAATCTTCCTTGAAAAAAAGGATCTTCCAAAAAAAAACAAAAACCTTCCTTAAAAAAACCCAGGACCATGGATGGATCAAAGGCAGCAATGGGAACCTCAGCACTGCAAGTTTTTYAGCCAACCTGTGCTTTCAGCATGTTAAACATGTGTGTGGTGGTTTTTCCTAATTCATTACAGAGAAAGTTTATTTTCTCTTGTTTGCTTTAAACTTCTGCCTGACCAGKGATGACCAGAGCTCTCATCACATCSTCGGTCACAAAACACCAAATCMCAGAATCACAAATGGTCTGKGTTGGAAGGGACATTAAAGATCATCCAGTTCCACCCCWSCCAKGGGCAGGGACAYSTYCCACTGTCCCAGGTTGCTCCAAGCCCCATCCAACCTGGCCTTGGACACTTCCAGGGATCCAGGGGCAGCCACAGCTTCTCTGGAAATTCTATTCCAGGGCCTCTCCACCCTCACAGGGAAGGATTCCTTCCTAACTTCCAATCCAAACCTACATTCTTTCAGTTTGAAGCCTTTCCCCCTTGTCCTGCCACTCCAGGCCCTTGTAAATAGTTCCTCTCCAACTTTCTTATTGGCTCCTTCAGGCACTGAAAGGGTCACCCCAAAGCTTCTCTTCCCCAAATTGAACAATCCCAACTCTCTCGGCCTTTCCTCACAGCAGAGCTCCTCCATCTCTGTGACCATCTCGGTAGCCTCCTGATACAATTCTTCATTTCCTCTCTCAAGTAATCTGGATTTTACTCCTTTATCCTGCCCATTCGTGCCTTCAGCCAGACCCACARCCTTTCAGTCCCCATCCATAACCCAGGGCAGCCTTCTCACCCTTTCTTCCACCTCTCCCAGCCCTCTTTCACCAGGGTGACTGGAATTCCACTGTGCTCAAGAGCCCTGMGGGTTTTTATTCAGCCCTGCACTTACATTTCCTCTTTCATTCCCCATCTCTTTCCCCAGCAATTCTTTGCATTCCACTTGCCTTCCTGACCTCTGCCGAGCAYGGAGCAGATRTTTCCAAAGCACCATCTGCAATGACGCCAGAACCTCTTTCCCGGGCTAATTTAAACCCTCTCATTGTGTCTGCACTTGACTTTTATTGACATGGAATTTCAGCAGCTATTTTCTGTGCCCKCACATTCGGTATTGTCAGATTCTTCTGCAACTTTTTTTTGCAGCCGAGTTTTCTTCGGCTCACCTGGAATAACTCCGAAYTCTCGGCGCATTTTGGTGCGTCACCGTCGTCCGCCTCCCTTTTTTCATCCCTCTTGTGAGAATATTGAACCGCACAGCTTCCCAAGACAGGTTAATCTCTCTTCACTGCAGAAACTGCACAGTTATTTGTACCTTTTATTTCCTATTTATAACCAGTCCTTCACTCAGAAGAGCAACTTTCCTCTTATCCCACACCTGGCACCTTGTTACGCACCCGCTCTCTTCAGAAAAACCTGCCTTATGCGTGCAAGCCGTGAGTCTCCTCATGCTAAAGTCATTATAAACTTGACAAAAAGGCTTTAAAATTGGTTTTGCTAAATGAAACCGTTTAATTTGCTGAGCAGAGGCATTAGTGAAGCAGCAGAGTATTAATTGGCTTCAAGCATTTTGTGGCTTTTAATAAAAACGGCGTCATCCTGTGTTTGATTCAATAGACACTTCATAARCCAKCTCACACCGACATCCATCCACTCTGCCTCGTGTCCCAGCATGAAGCTGCTGCAATCCTAAAATCTCCTTGAAAATCACCAAAAAAATCACCTTGGAAACACCACGGAGCATCCTCACATGGGTGACAGCCTCAATGTCAAACTCCAATGATAATCTCAATTTCACCAAATAAAATCTGCTGGGACCTCTCTTCYTCACATTGGCTACTTAAAACTTCACACCAGCAGCAGCAATCCTGAATCCCAGATCTTTTTTTCCAAAAAATCCTAAGAATTAAAGGAGCTGCACTGTTGCASTAGAAGACCTGCAGGAATTAGTTTCTGAAGGATAGGAGGATGTGAWTATCCTAGACACTTGATCCTGTG